CTCAGCTAAGCAATAACAATTATGGCATTCTTTGGTTATTTCAATTCTGTTTCTTTTTTTTTTTTGAGATGGAGTTTTGCTTGTGTTGCCCAGGCTGGAGTGCAGTGGCACGATCTTGGCTCCCAGGTTCAAGCGATTCTCCTGCCTCAACCTCCCAAGTAGCTGGGATTACAGGCATGCACCACCACGCCCGGCTAATTTTGTATTTTTAGTAGAGACGGGGTTCCACCATGTTGGCCAGGCTAATCTTGAACTCCCAACCTCAGGTGATCTGCCCTCCTCAGCCTCACAAAGTGCTGGGATTACAGGCGTAAACCACCGCACCCAGCCCGAATGGTTATTTCTTTGTAAACAGACAATTTTTAAATAATGTGAAAATACAGGAGTGTTTTAGAAATACCGAGGAGGGAACACTGGCCCGCTGTGGCCAGGACGATGGTGCATCATGAGAAGGTAGCACTTGTGGTTGAGAAGTGAGGCTTGAGACACACAGCGGCCTGGCATATGGGACTTGTAAATGCAGGTTAGTTTGGGCCCTGTTGAGGGATAATGAGAAAACAAAGTTGTGCAGAACCATTTACTTATTTTTTGGAGAGATTTATTTTTGCAGAGATCCTGAATGGGAACGGAATCGGGGTGGATAGGGAGCAACATGGAGACAAGGAGATCAGTTAGGAAGCTGCTGAGATGATGCAGAGGAGAGATGTTTTTTTAAAGGCGGGAGTCCTGAGGATGAGAGGAGAAAACAGAGTCAAGACAGGTTCAGGAAGTACATGGGCAGCCTGTGGTAATTATTGGTTGTCAGAGCAATATGGGAGAAGACACTAGGATGCTCCCAGATATTTAGTTTCAATGATTGGGTGGTGCCTACAATTCACTGAAAGAAAGAATACAAGAGGAGAAGCAGGTTGGCTAGGAGGATGGAGAACTAAGTCAGTGGCAGCCCTGGAATTCCTCTATGGAAGGCATTCAGTCAGAAAGCATGCGGGATTTGTCTTGAAAGTATAGTTCCAATTATAAGCATTCTGCATTTATTTAGCATGCATGCTCAGATAGGATAGCATGGATGGCAGATTATTTGAAGGCCTTCTCAATAGAAGTCTAATCACCTTGTTTAACCAGACAAGGATATATGAATAACATAAATGTTTTGCATTCAAAGGGAATTTACCAGGCAAATAATAAACTGAAGACCTCATCTCGCATTACATTTTCATAAAGGTTTGTTTGCTTAGCTACTTGGTGGTCAAATATTTCAGTTTATTTCTGTTCTACTGTCAATGGCTTCATTTCTAGAAAAGTTGCTATATTTCCTTTTATATCATTTGTTTTCAAATAAGTTCAGGGTAAAATCCTCTCATAGCATTTTTTTTTCTTTTTAATAATGAAGACCCTTCTGAGGGTACTATGTTTAACAAAATCAAGCTCACTCTTTTTCGAGGTAATCTGTTTCTAGGAATTACTGAAAAGTAAAAGGAAGTTTTCCATAACATGTTTGATTTTTAGCACCTGAATCAGACCTTGAAAGAGCTGTGCAATTACAAATAGAAGCCACATCTTATTGTTTTGATACTTCTTGAAGCTATAGCTTGGATAACAGAATGTCACATCATGAATTCGGCACCAGACGTTATATTAGTTGAGATTCTTTTGGTTGCAAGTGACAGAAACCCAATTTAAACAAGGTCAAGAATAAAGGGAAGGCCAGGTGCGGTGGCTCATGCCTGTAATCCCAGCACTTTGGGAAGCTGAGGTGGGTGGATCACTTGAGGTCAGGAGTTCGAGATTAGCCTGGCCAACATGGTGAAATCCCGTCTCTACTAAAAATACAAAAATAAGCCAGATGTGGTTGTGCATGGCTGTAATCCCAGCTACTTGGGAGGCTGAGGCAGGAGTATTGCTTGAACCCAGGAGGTGGAGGAGGTTGCACTGAGCCAAGATGGCGCCACTGTACTCCAGGCTGGGCGACAGAGTGAGACTCTGTCTCAAAAATGAAAAAAAAAAAAGAATAAAGGGGAAATCGAGCAAACCAAGGAAAAGGTAAGTGTGGAGCTTTGGGAATGACAAGATCCAGGAGCCATCACACTGGCAGAACACTCCATCTCTCTCATTTCAATTCTTTGCTTCCCAGTGCCTGTTGGCTTCATTCTCTCCTAGAGTAAACAGACTTTCTTCACACGAGAGGGAACAGAGGGCCTGTTGGACTCATTCTTCCAGCTCAACCACAAGTAAGAGAAGAGAGTCTCTCTCCAAGATCTGGTTTTAACAGTCTCAGGGAAGAAGAATTCTGATTGCTCTGGCTTGGTTCACAAACCCACTTGTTGAACCAATCACTGCACCTAAAGGGGCAGGGTCTGTATCAGAAGAAAGGATAGAAGCACACACAGATGGCCGTTCATCCAACCTGTGAAGCAGGTGGGCTTGGGTGGCTGTGGGACATCCACGTGAGGCAGTGAGGCAAAATCTGGACACATGAGCCTGAGGCTCAGAGGACAGCACTGAACTGAAGACATTCTGTCTGATGGCTCAGAAAGTTGCTGATTGCCTTGACAAAGTTAATGGCAGGATTTATTCCACAAGCTCAGTAGATAGATTCACCCATGATCTTTATTCTCAGATAACCCTTCATATGTGTGTTAATAGAGGCTTAACTAGAATCAGATAGTGAAGTTCATAGTTATAAAATAAATTGTTTTTACAAGAAAGTAGGCCAGGCACAGTGGCTCATGCCTATAATCCCAGCACTTTGGGAGGCCGAGGTGGGCAGATCATTTGAGGTCAGGAGTTTGAGACCAGCCTGGCCAACATGGCGAAATCCTGTCTTTACTAAAAATACAAAAATTAGCCGGGCATGGTGATGCACACCTGTAATTCCAAATACTCAGGAGGCTGAGGCACAAGAATCACTTGAACCCGGAAGGCCGAAGTTGCAGTGAGCTGAGATTGCACCACTGCACTCTAGCCTGGGTGACAGAGTAAGACTCTGTTTCAAAAAAAACTTTTTTAATAAAATAATTAAATAACTTTTTTCTAAAAAAAAGAATATCGGCCGGGTGCAGTGGCTCACTCCTGTAATCCCAGCACTCTGGGAGGCCAAGGCAGGTAGATTACTTGAGGTCAGGAGTCGAGACCAGCGTGACCAACATGGTGAAACCTGTCTCTGCTAAAAATAAAAAAATTAGCTGGTGTGGTGGCAGGCACCTGTAGTCCCAGCTACTCAGGAAATTGAGGCAGGAGAATCACTTGAATGTGGGAGGTGGAGGTTGCAGTGAGCCAAGATTGCACCACTGCACTCCAGCCTGGAAGACAGAGTGAGACTTTGTCTCACAAAAAAAAAAAAAAAAAAAGTAAACTCCATGACAGCCGAAGTTTTGTCTGCTGTAGTCACTGTCATGTTGTCAGTGTCCAAAGCAGTGCCTGTTCGTGTTGCTAGTAGATGCTCAATAAATACTTGTTGAAAGAATGAATGAATGAGCAAATAAATAAACAATATTTATTCTGTCCACAAATCCTTAGGAGGGCAGAAATTACATACAAGTTAATTATACCAAATTCTGATTTTTGGTTCATATTTCTGGGCTGTTAGTAATTTTTTTTTTTTTTTTTTTTTGAGACAAAGTCTTGCTCTGTCACTCAGGCTGGAGTGTAATGGTGTGATCTCAGCTCACTGCAACCTCTGCCTCCTGTGTTCAAGCAATTCTCCTGCCTCAGCCTCCCAAGTAGCTGGGATTACAGGTGCCTGCCACCACGCCCAGCTATTCTTTTTGTATTTTTAGTAAAGACTGGGTTTCACCATGTTGGCCAGGCTGGTCTCGAACTCCTGACCACAGGTGATCCACCCACCTTGGTCTCCTAAAGTGCTGAGATTACAGGCATGAGCCACTGTGCCTAGCCACTATTTGTATATTATTTATTCTTGCTGCTGGTTTTTCCAGTGGATTTTTCCTGTATGGGCAAGGGGAATGAGTTAAGAAAATGGAGCAGGAATGAGGGCTTTGGGTCCCCACTCTATTGGTGATAATAACAACTGACATTTGTATTGCAATTTTCTTCCAAAAGTTACTACATTTGCTTCTCAAAATATCCCTGTGAAGCAGATGCCATTACCTTCATTTTTAGATAGATAAACAAGCTTAGAGAGACTCTCCCAATACCACTCAAGTGGTATTAAGTCAGCCTCCATCTAAACCCTAGTCTTATCATGTTTATTCCATGGCACCTGGCTGCCTCCCTCGCTGGTTGTGTAGGCTGAGAAAGCCACTTCCCCTTTCTGGGCCTCAGTTCTGGAAAAATGCCTAGGTGATCTCCTAGATTCCTTTAAATTCTATGAGTCTAGCAGCCTTTTCTTCTCCATCATCTATTTTTAAAATTGTTATAGCTTTAAGAAGTACTAAAATGATGAGATGTGATTTCTGTTTGTAATTGCACAGCTCTTTCAAGGTCTGATTCAGGTGCTAAAAATCAAATACGGTAGGTACAACTTCCCTTTACTTTTCAGTAATTCCTAGAAACAGAATACCTTGAAAAAGAATGAGTTTGATTTTGTTAAACATAGTACCCTCAGAAGGGTCTTCATTATTAAAAAGAAAAAAAAAATGCTATGAGAGGATTTTACCCTGAACTTATTTGAAAACAAATGATGTAAGAGGAAATATGGCAACTTTTCTAGAAATGAAGCCATTTAGAGTAGAATAGAAATAAATTAATTGGAAATATTTGACCACGAAGTAGCTAAGCAAACTAACCTTTATGAAAATATAATGTGAGACGAGGTCTTCAGTTTATTATTTGCCTGGTAATTCCCTTTGTATGCAGAACATTCATGTTATTCACATATCCTTGTCGGTTTAAACATGGTGATTACACTGCTATTGAGCATCAGGGCAAGTAAGTTGTGTTTCTTCCCACAGAATGTTTTGTTTTGTCTCCAACTTCTATTTGTGGCCATATAGAAGTAAGCTACTTCTGATGTGACATGAAAAACTTTACACAGAAAAATCTGTATTTGCACATCCTTTGGGGGGCTTTTATTTTTGCTAAAAAGTAGAATTCACACAGGAGAAAAAAAAACATGCAAAATATTTTTGTGCACACTTTTAACAGGCTACATTCCACTTCTGAAATCTTACCCAAAACAAAACAAAAAGTCCCAAAGCCAGAATACTGAGTTAAAAAGTTAACATTATAAAAGCTAGGTTCCTAACACAAACACTGCAGATATAAGCTGCAGATATGTCACTCCATTGAAAAAAGTTGTGTTTATCTTTTTTTTTTTTTTTTTTTTTGAGACGGAGTTTCACTCTTGTTGCCCAGGCTAGAGTGCAATGGCATGATCTCGGCTCACTGCAACCTCCACCTCCAGGATTCAGGAGATTCTCCTGCCTCAACCTCCCAAGTAGCTGGGACTATAGGCACCTGCCACCACATCTGGCTAATTTTGTGTATCTTTAGTAGAGATGGGGTTTCACCATATTGGCCAGGCTGGTTTCAAACTCCTGACCTCAGGTGATCCACCTGCCTCAGCCTCCCAAAGTGCTGGGATAACAGGCGTGAGCCACTGCACCTGGCCTATAAATGTTAAATTAATGTCAACAATGAGGAAACAAGAACTGTAGCTCCAAAGTGTGCTCCCCACCATGGATTATGAAAAATTTTGTTTGGTGTTGTAGGACATTCACAATGTAAACTTGAGCTAGACACAGTCTTATTCCTGACACTACACCAGACTCACAGACACTGAGTGAACCACACTCAAAACTACCTTCTTTTCCTGCTACATTTTAAGTGGTTTTTTTCTTGTTTTTTTTTTCTTTTTTTAAAAAATTTTTTGCTAGTTTTGTTTTTTTTTTGGCAAATAAGAGTCCCTCAGAATCTATACTTGCTCTGAAATGTAGAAAAATTGATTCAATAAAGGACTGTGGTGAAACCATCCCTTGAGATATTTCACTTTTCTTCTTAATGATCATATACTTTTTAATGATCGTGTGTGTGTGCGTGTGTGTAAAACCTTTAAAAAGAGATTTGGGAAACTGAATTCTAGGGAACGTTTTTTTTTTCTTTCTTTCTTTCCTCAAGACCAGTCCCTGACAATTGAATAGTTAGTTTTCGGAGAAAACGACTTAGAGCCTGTCAGTACAGTCAGTAACCTCCTTGTCCCGGCGTATTTGAACTTTCCAAAAATAACAGAATGCTCCAAGGTATTTGTCTGCAACTCCTGACAAATCTCCAGGCAGTCCCAGCAGATTTTACTCTGCCTGCTGCTTTGTATTCACCTTGTCGCAGATCCAAAGGTAGGAAGGGCCCTGTGGCAGGAGCACATCCATGTCCCTCCCTGGTGCTCCCTGGGGGAGATTGGTGGCTTCCTGCTTGGAAAAAAATAGGGGCTTCCTGCAGCTAGGGACACAGCTAGCTGCTTCCTTCTCCCTAATGGAGAGGAGACACTCAGGTAAGATGGCAGTCCCCTGGAAGTCTCAGTCCTTAGAAGAAAAGAGTTCTAATACATTCCCATAAAATATTTCAAACGTGCAAAGAGAAAAATCCAAAACAGGAGTAAGAGCAGAATAGAGTGAGTTGGAAGACAGCCTAAATAGCGTGCTCAAGTGAGAAACATTCATGCAAACTGCCTGCATCAATGCCATGTTTTCGATGAGCATATTAACAGGGCTTCCTAAAGACGAAAGTGACTACACTATTTCCAACCACAGAATCTAAACTGCCTTATTTATCGCCAAACAGCTTTAAGATGCTTACCTAACTCAAACTATCACTAGTATCATAAAGTAGTTTGAAGGCCCCTCTACTTCAATAAATACTTAAATAATAGCTAGATCAACTCAGCTCATACATTTTCAAAATATTGGCCAAAACAGCAAATGTATATATATCAGTGTATCTGTTCCTTCTAGCAGCTAACACAGTTGTACAAACTCAGTCTGCTGCATTTTAAGGAACATTTGAAATGGATGGTGCAGACCTGAAGGTGGGAGGTCCTGCCTCCTCGTGTGTTCTTACTGAGGGTGGCAGAAAGTAAGTTTTCTCTTCCCCACCCAGAGTTTGGGCATGTGAGCCTATTCTGCCATCCTATTTCAGACACTGTCTCTCTGTCTCTCTTCTTTTCCACAGGCCACCAAGCCTATTTGAGATGGAGGGTACTGGGGGAGACATCGTAAGTGAGCAGTCACAGGTTGGGGTGAAATTCACGCACACGACTGGACACTCATACTAACGAACCCTTAAAGCTAAACAAAGGCCAAAGACAACCCAGAGCCTTTAAAAAATCTCTCACACACCACAGAGCAAAACTGGAAAAACCCAATTCTACTTTCCCATCACAATTCAAAAAGGAGCTAAGCCTTCTGGGGACATTGGATGTTTCAGACTGAGAGAGGGTGGCTGAAAGGGCCATCTTTTCTCAGCTGTCTGCAACCTGAGCCAGAGCCCTTCCTGGAGTCCTGGCAATTGCCCAGTGGCTCCCAGAAGACATCTCTTTGGACGTCCGGGCTCCCATTAGAATGTTTCAAGTTTGTTCAAGGTCTGAAGTCTGATGCACAGAGGTAGCTCCATGACGCTAGTAATGGAATAACACTTCCTTTTTTGGTGAGGAAAGCCCAATGGGTCTTAGCTAACAAGCTCTCAGCTATGACTCTAAAAATACCCTGCAGCGAGTGCTGTTTGGCACTTCAATTTGTTTGCCAGGGGAGCGCTTAAGAACTCCACAGAATACTTCAGATTCTCCACAGCTGCTCTGAGCTCTGTCCTCCTCTGGTGACCGCAGGAAGTGTATCGCTTTGGGAAAGCTGCTTGTTGCTTTTCACTTTTGAGTTCTTGGAATTCTGCTCTAAATGTCTGAAGCACAATTCCAGTCTTAGATTAATAACTAGCTTGGTTTTGAGTCTTCATTTGGCTCCTAGTCTGAACTATGCAAATACACGATTTGTGTACAGAAGAAAAAACCTAAAATTATACTTCCAAAGGGCTCAGTTGCTTCCTCTCTCTCCCTGTTCCCCTCAGAAGAAAGAAACATCAGCCTCCCGAATCCTTTGTTGCCAGCAGCAGGAGCAGCTCTGGGCCTCATCAGCACAGGCGGCCTCAGCCGCCTACAAGTTGATGGTGTGTGCGTGCTTCTTGCACAGGGGTCTGTCCTTCTTGGAGTAGAACGGCTGCCCCTCCAGATTCACATGGCAGACCTGGAACAGAGAACAGACCTGCGTGAGACCCATGTGGCGGGGGACATGAGCAGATTTCAATCGCTCTTTTAAGAAAAAGCCCTGGCCAGGTGCGGTGGCTCAGTCCTATAATCCCAGCACTTTGGGAGGCCAAGGCGGGCAGATCACTTGAGGTCAGGAGTCCGAGACCAGCCTGGCCAACATGGCGAAACTCCATCTCTACTAAATACAAAATATAAAAATTAGCCAGGGGCACGTTGGCACGCGACTGTAATCCCAGCTACTCGGGAAGGTTGAGGCAGAAGAATCTCTTGAACCTGGGAGAGAGAGGTTGCAGTGAGCTGTGATTGTGCCACTGCACTCCAGCCCGGGCAACAGAGTAAGATTCTGTCTAAAACAAACAAACAAACAAAAAGCCTTGCCCCATGCATTGCAGAGAAAAGGCAACAGCCTATTTCTCCCATTATAAATTCTTAACGACAGAAGCAGAGTACATGAGTTGGACTATGTAAAAACTAAGATTCCTGAAGAACACAGAATAAAATCAAATGAAATTAATTGAATTTAATGGAATAGAGAAAATATACACTATGAAGCTGACCAATTCATGCTATCCAAAATGTATAAAGAGTCAATACAAGTTCACAAGTCAATATACCACAGAGAGGATTCACATCTAAAGAAAGTAGTAAACCAACAAACACATCAGAGAAGATTGTACTCACTAATAATTAAAGAAAAAGCAAATTAAAACTGCCCTGATGCCAGGCGCAGTAGCTCATGCCTATAATCCCTATGCTTTGGGAGGCTGAGGCAGGAGGATTTTTTGAGGCCAGGTGTTTGAGACCAGCCTGGGCAACATAGTGAGCCTCTGTCTCTACCAAAAAAAAAAAAAAAAAGAAGATTAGTTAAAAAAAATTATAAGAAAAACTGCCCTGAGATACCACTAGACACCTATTAATCTAGCAAGACAAATAAAACAAGAAAACCTCAATGGCTTGTCACCTTTAACCTAACATGCCTCTAGCCAAAAAGCTTAAAAAAAAACACACAAAGTATTCAATCAAAAATCAGCAATGCCAAAAAGGAACAAGGCCTACTGGTGCACTGCTAGAGACACACGAGTGAGCTCAGTGTTCCACAGGGAATCTGGCCATGTTGAACAAGAACTACTGAGATGTGCCTACCCTATAACCCAGTAATGCCACGCTAGAGAATTTATCCTGCAGAACCAACTCTGCAGAACAAGAAAGCAACCTGTGCTCAACTAGAAACTGAAAACTACTAAAATTTCTCTCAATAGGGAGATGATTCAGTAAATTTTCAAGGTGTATTTTTCCAATGGAATGCCACCATTTAAAAAGATAGATATGGGCCAGGCACGGTGGCTCATGCCTGTAATCCCAGCACTTTGGGAGGCAGAGGCAGGAGGACCACAAGATCAGGAGTTTGAGATCAGCATGACCAACATGGTGAAACCTCATCTCTACTAAAAATACAAAATTAGCCAGGTGTGGTGGTGCACGCCTGTAATCCCAGCTATTCAGGAGGCTGAGGCAGGAGAATCGCTTGAACCTGGGAGTCCGAGGTTGCAGTGAGCCAAGATTGCACCACTGTACCCCAGTCTGGACGACAGAGTGAGACTCTGTCTCAAAAAAAAAAAAAAAAAAAAAAAAAGATATGGAAAAGTATGCAGAGAAATATACAAAAAACAAAAGAGATGAAATTCTTTTTTGTTTTCTTTTTTTTTTTTTTTTTTGAGATGGAGTCTTACTCTGTCACCCAGGCTGGAGTGCAATGGTGTGATCTCGGCTCACTGCAACCTCCACCTCCCAGGTTCAAGCAATTCTCCTGCCTCAGCCTCCCTGGTAGCTGGGATTACAGGCACCCACCACCACATTCAGCTATTTTTTTTTTTTTTTTTTTTGGTAGTTTAGTAGAGACAGGGTTTCACCATGTTGGCCAGGCTGGTCTCGAGCTCCTGACCTCAAGCAATCCACCTGCCTCGGCCTCCCAAAGTGCTGGGATTACAGGCGTAAGCCACCGTGCCCAACCCAAGAGATGAAATTCTATATCCCCATGATGACAACATAGAGTATAGTCTGAGGAAGAGAACTAATATTTGTGGGGACTACCATGGACCAAGCAGGATGCCAAACACTATATACAGCAGCTCATTTAATTCTCATGAAAACCTTACAAGGTAGGTATGCCTTTCTCCCACTTCACAAATGAAAAAACTGGAGCTCAGAGGGCGCCTATGTCTTTCTTAAGTCGCAGACCTAGTAAGTTGTAGGGCTGGGAATCTCTGTCCAGGTCTATAAGACTCCAGTTCTATGCTAATTTTTCCCCTACCCCATAGCAGAAAGGGGCTGTGTTTACTTGAAATTGTTCTGGGTTCATGGGTTTGTACGGAGGTAGCCCTCTGAGTTTGTCAGACTACTAGTATGTAAGCTAGGCCCTGGGTTGGCAATATGCCAGTATGTCAGAGTCTGCCAGGAAGTCACATTGGCTGGCATGGGTCCCAGCCTAGGAGAGGGCAGTGAAGATCCCTGCTGACGGGCAGAATTGGGAGCCATCTCCAGGACACTGACATCAGGAGGAGTGCAGGTGGAGTCCCTACATACAGGTATCCCCCAAGGAAACAGAAATCACCCTCCAGAGTTGAGCTTGGGGCAATGTGCATGTATCCAGTCCAAGAGAGTTGGAAAGGAAAAGGGCACCACGCTGGCCCCATGTGCAAGGCTCTGATGGTCCAGTTGGGGACATTATACCTAGGATCACACAGGGCTTCCAGTGGGTCCTGGAAGTCAATGAGCTGCAAAAGGTGGATACAGTGATGCTGAGTATAACCAGGCTTGTGTGGAGGCCTCAAGCTGCTGGTGGCAATTTAAAGACTAATGCAAAAAGATGGACACCCAAGATCTAACTGGTGAGAATGGGCTTTAAGGAAGACAGAAAGGCAGCTCTGGAGTGAGTCAGCCTGTCAGTGACTGCAGCTGTGGCTGGGAGACCCTACCTGGTCTGGGACAATGCTGGTTGCTTGTGAGAACTTCGGGATGAGTCAGGCTGGGAAGAGAAGGTGTCCAGGGACTGAAGACCAATAAATGAGAAAGGGACAGAACCTCAAATATGGCTCATAGGTGAGATGGGGCTGAGGGTGGGAACCCTCATAGGGAGTTGTGCCCAGTGTCTTCTTGATGCAAGGTGCTTCATGGTGGAGGAGGCCTCCTGCCCACCCAGCATAGGGGACAACAGGGATGGTCTAACCCCCAGGCTCTGTGGCTGGGTGACATCAGGGCCTGGCTATAAAGGGGTGGTGACCATGAACAGTGCTGACCGCAGGTCCCAGCAGAGTTAGGGTAATAAACTAGGCCAGCTGCAGCAGCCCCTAGGACTGCCTACAAAAGTTGTACCACTGCCCATCCGCTCCTGATACCCACACCAGTAGGGAAGGGCAAGACTTAGAGCAAAAGAAGGATTGGTAAGACATTTTTCCTCCACTAAGGTCAGACCCGGCCGGGCGTGGTGGCTCAAGCCTGTAATCCCAGCACTTTGGGAGGCCGAGACGGGCGGATCACGAGGTCAGCAGATCAAGACCATCCTGGCTAACACGGTGAAACCGTCTCTACTAAAAAAAAATACAAAAAACTAGCCGGGTGAGGTGGCGGGCGCCTGTAGTCCCAGCTACTCGGGAGGCTGAGGCAGGAGAACGGCGTGAACCCGGGAGGCGGAGCTTGCAGTAAGCTGAGATCGCGCCACTGCACTCCAGCCTGGGCGACAGAGCGAGACTCCGTCTCAAAAAAAAAAAAAAAAAAAAAAAAGGTCAGACCCTTTCCATTGGAACTCAAGTGTCAGTGCCAGACAGAAGCTTAACTTTCACCCTGACTCACACTGCACTTCTCAGGCTCCCAGCCTTCACTTTATATGCTTTAGACTTGAGGGGTACTGTCCTGTTCTACTTTTGAATTGCTCACATCTGTTGCTTTGTTCGCCTTTCAAGATTCTAGATTCCGTCAAGGTAGAGACTTGTTCTGGGACACTCTTGTATTCCCCAAATGCCAGGAATATTTGGTAAACTGAGTTAGTCTAAAAATGTGCTATCTGAGATCTCACTGGTGAGAAAACAGCACATCAGCTGGGAGAGCTACTCCAGATCTTTCTCTTACTAAGTTTTTGGAAGTTACAGGAAAATACATGCTCATCAAAAGTGATTTGGAAATATGAAGTGACAGAAAGAGGACCAAAAAAAAAAAAAATCCCTCATGTCCCTCAAAGTTTTCCAATCAAAAGATTTCTTTCCAATGTTAAAACTACGTTCCAGCTGGGTGCAGTGGCTCACACCTGTAATCCCAGCACTTTGGGAGGCTGAGGTGGGTGGCTCATAAGACCAGCCTGGCCAAGATGGTGAAACCCCATCTCTACTAAAAATACAAAAATTAGTCGGGCCTGGTGGCGGGCGCCTGTAATCCCAGCTACTCAGGAGGCTAAGGCAGAGAATTGCTTGAACCTGGGAGGTGGAGGTAGCAGTGAGCTGAGATCGTGCCACTGCACTCCAGCCTGAGCGACAGAGCAAGACTCTGTCTCACAAAAAAAAAAAAAAAAAAAAAAAAAAGTACCATGTTCCACTTCACTATTTGTTGACAGGGCAGTGAGTACCGTGCAGGCTGGTTTGGAGGGAGACCTAACGATCTCCATGCTGATCCTCCAAAGGGCAGTGCTATGAGCCTCTCACAGGCTGGACTTCACTCTCTGGAACTTATTTGTAATATCAGCCTGAGCCACCCCAAGCTTTACGGCTTCTTCTGGTCTCTCTCTTGGACTTTTGCTGTTGTGACTCAGCTGAAATTGCGAGGCTTGCAGGAGCAGACCCACACTCACCTTTGCCACAATTCCCTCTGCATGTGACACAGACCTCTCATCAGCCCGCCTGTGGAAAACAGGCCTTCTGTGCCACTGTCTTCCTGGACCCTCCCCAGGTCTCTTGGATCCTTCCAGAAGTTGGGTAACCAGATGTGCAGGCAGTGCCTCAGGACTAGACAAGTCATGGCTTGAATGTAAGGTTCAGAGAGCCCTGTGCTGTGCCTGACACAGGGGAGCTATAACTCTGCAGGGGACAACCCCAAAGCCAGTATATTTACACCATTGTCTCTTTTTGGAGGGGATGTATTTAAAACACCCTAAAAGATAACTAGAGAATCTGTTCAAAGAGCTGGAAAATCAGAGTGATAAGGGGTTGAACTGTATTCCACAAAATTCACATGCCAGAAGGCAGAGTTAGGAGTGAGCCAAGATTGTGCCATTGTACCCCAGCCTAGGCAACAACAGTGAAACTCCGTCTCAAAAAAAAAAAAAAAAAGCGGAGCTTGCAGTGAGTGGATATCGCGCCACTGCACTCCAGCCTGGGCGACAGAGCAAGACTCCGTCTCAAAAAAAAAAAAAAAAAAAAAAAAAAAAGAGCATAACCACACAGAGACAGACACACTCAGAGGAGAATGTCATGTCATGTGAAGACATAGATACAGGGGAGACAGCCTTGTGATAATGGAGGCAGGGATTGGAGTCACACAGCTGCAAGCCAAGAAATGCCAAAGATTGCTGGCAACCACTAGAAGCTCAGAGAGAGAGTATGGCCTCCTGTCAGCACCTTGATTTAGGACTTCTGGCCTCCTGAACTGTGAAAGCGTTCATTTCTGCTGCTTGAGCCATCAGTTTGCAGTAATTTGTCAAGGCAGCCCTAGCAAACCAACACACAGAGTGAATACAGTGCGTCCCACAGACGGCAGGGTATGGAAGCAAAGTGTAGAACCGAAAGCATATGTCCGTAAACTTGATGACTAGGGTCATCCTATGTCATAAGTCTATAAAAATTATTCAAGTAAAAACTGTACAGGTATTTCATACATTTCCAAAATTTACCTTGAGAAACTGTGGTTAAAAAAAATAGTAGGGGTGTCTTAATTTTCCCAAATCAGCCAGGCGCGGTGGCTCACACCTGTATTCCCACAACTTTGGGAGGCTGAGGCGGGTGGATCACCTGAGGTCAGGAGTTTGAGACCAGCCTGGCCAACATGGTGAAATCCCCTCTCTACTAAAAATACACAAAATTAGCCAGGCATGGTGGTGTGTGCCTGTAGTCCCAGCTACTCGGGAGGCTGAGGCAGAAGAATTGCTTGAACCCAGGAGGCAGAGGTTGCAGTGAGCCGAGATCGCTCTACTGCACTCCAGCCTGGGCAACAGGAGCAGAAACTCCATTGCAAAAAAAAGAAAAATTATCAAATCAAGATTAGTCAATGACAGATTGACATTAGGGGGCTTTCTCAGGGATGACTGTTTCCTACCTCTCCCTCAGAGTCTAAATGCCTGTAGCCACACCATCATGTGCCCACCCCAACCCAAAACCTTCAGAAGGAAAATACCAGTCTCATACTAAAAGTGACGCAGCTTTTCAGCAGAAATAAGTAGCACACAATTAATAGTTAATTATTAGGGCTTATCTCCTGGCAGCTATATATCAAGAAAGGACCACTTAGGAAAATAAAATGATACTCAGTCTTGCTTTCCAAAGGTTCTACCAAGAGAAACCCTGTCTCAGCTTTTCATAGGATTAGTCAGCTCCAATCTAGTGTTTGGGGTAACAATTTGGAGGGGAAAACCCTCAAGTCACTCCATCATATCTGAAGTGACATATAACCATGGGAAGTCAACTGCCCCTCTCAAAGCCAAGCATCATCTGCTGCTCTTGCCCACTGACAACACTGCTGGTGAGACAAGCCACTGGTTTGCCAAACCCTGGGACACTCTGTTGTCTTTAACGAAATGGAAAGTAACAAAGCCACACTGGCTTATAAATAATTATTAGGAATGAAACTTTGTTCAACTGTGATGTATCGAGGCATCATGGTGTTTGCCAGCTTTTAAAAATGATCAGGATGTCAAAGAACTAGCATGGCAAGGGATGTAGAGGGTGGTCATCTGGTTCCCACTTCCTCCCTCCTGCCTCTTCTCAGAAAGCCAGAGCCCCAAGCTAGAGACATACCGCACAAATGAAGCAGGTGTCATGCCAGGTGTGGCCCAGGGCTTCAATAAACTTGTCACCGGCCTCCACGGGGAAATCGCAGCCGTGACACTTGGTGCTGAACAGATTGATGTAGTCTGAAATGAAAAGCAGAGTGAAGACCACACACCCAGTAGGGCAGTGGGGACCCAAAGCCAAGACAACCCCCAAATCAGTGGGCAGGGGCAGGGGGTGAAATCTAACTGGTTGTTTGTAATCTCACAGATGAAATACTCAGTTACATGACTGATAGTTTTCCATTTTCCAATCATTGCACTGATGTTCAGACCCACGCTTAGACACCATCTCACGCTAGTTTGATTTACAAACACTTTCTGGAACTGTCATTAACATTCTGCAGGGAGATTGTCTCCTCTGCTTCTGTCACCTCTAATAGACCAAACAGATCAAGCCCCAAAGAGAAAACAATCCACGTTTCCAAACGGCTATGCTTACTTTGGAAGAATGAGGGTCCAACGTATTTAAGAGTTACGGAATGTTCTTTGCTTAGCCATTCTTCTGTCATGGGGCATTTGTGTTGACAACAAGTTTTTACTACTATAAAGAATATTTTAACTATTTTATTGGGGCATGTCCTCCTCCTCCTTCCCTACCCCCAACCAAGGAGATAATGCTATTAAGTATTATTTATATGATGCTTTGCAATTTACCAAGCATTTTCACATGGATGATGTTATTTACAAGTATCTCAATGTCAGGGACTACATTTTAGCTTTCTTTGCACTCCCAGCACAATGACTGACACACAGTCAATATCCAAAACATACATAGGGAATGAACGCATTAACCAATTAATCAGTTAATCAGTGAATGAGTCTGATCACAAAATCCCTCAGAGATTGAACTATTATTATCTTTTTGTTTTGTTTTGTGTATGAGAAAATTGAGACTCAAAGAGGTGAAGGGCCCAGCCAGCATCCCACAGCTGTGGCACAGTGGGTCAGGTTCTGTGCTCCTTCACCAGGGCAGCTGTCCTCTCTGGCCCAAAGGGGCTACAGTTCTACCACACTGGCTGTAGAACATCTCTAGATTATTCTAGAAAAGCTCCATCCCATTTACAAAGCCTTCATCCCTCCTGAGAGGTGTACGCATTCCTCCACAACTCTTCTACAGTTGGCTTCTTCTTAAGTGATTTCCTGTTCTTCTTGTGGACAGTATGTCCATTCATTGTCTTAGACCACGTCTTACTGAGTGCCAGTGTGCCATGGGGGTTACAAAATTGGACTCTGAATAAAGGAAGAGCTAAGTTCAAATCCCAACTCTACTAAGAAACATTCAAACCTGGGGTAAATCACCTAACTTCTCAAGGTCTCAACTTACTTATCTATATAATGGGAATAATTATTGTACTGAACTCTTGGGGTTTTGAGTGGATTAAATAAGATAATGTAAGTGAAGTATTTGGCACAAGCACTCAAAAATGTTGGCTCTTATTTTGAAAGTCTTCGTAACTGAAGCAAGGAGGGAAGGGAACCATGATTTGAGTGCCATTGTGCCTCTTGTTTAATCCTCATGACACCTCTGTGAAGAGATAATATTCCCTATTTATTTATTTATTTTTGTGATGGAGTCTTGCTCTGTCACCAGGTTGGAGTGCAGTGGCATGATCTTGGCTCATTGCAACCTCCGCCACCCGGGTTCAAGCAATTCTCCTGCCTCAGCCTCCCGAGTAGCTGGGAGGACAGGCATGTGCCACCACACCCAGCTAATTTTTTTCTGTATTTTTAGTAGAAACAGGGCTTCATCATTATGGGCAGGATGGTCTTGATCTCTTGACCTTGTGATCCGCCCGCCTCGGCCTCCCAAAGTGCAGGGATTACAGGCGTGAGCCACCGTGCCCAGCCTGTTTCTTTATTTTTTGAAAGCAGACTCTCACTCTGTTACCTAGGCTGGAGTACAGTGGCACAATCGCAGCTCGCTGCAACCTCTGCCTCCCAGGTTCAAGCAATTCTCTTGCTTCAGCCTCCCAAGTAGCTGGGATTACAGGCACGTGCTACCACGCCTAGCTAATTTTTGTATTTTCAATAGAGATGGGGTTTCACCATATTGGCCAGGCTGGTCTTGAACTCCTGACCTCAAGTGATCTACCCACCTTGGCCTCCCAAAGTGCTGGGATTACAGGCATGAGCCACTGCGCCTGGCCTAGTATTCCCATTTTAAAGGGGAGGAAACTGACTGAAGAGATTCCATCACATAAGTCATAAGGAGCAGCCCCAGTCCTGATGGACTCCAATGTTCATCCTACTTCCATGGTTTAACGCTGTCTCCAGCTACTTATCAGCCTGCCATTGAGCTTTGATCAGTTACACTTACCTCTTGCATATGTTTTCCAATATACAGCTTCCCCTTTTGTGCCTAATTGTAGCTTGTCATGCAAATGCTCTTATGTATCCCAGTCCATCAATCCTCTCTGATGGAACACTTAATTTCTTTAGTAGGCAGAAATGCATTGCCTTGCCAGAGCTAAGAAAACATTGTACAGCCGAGCACGGTGGCTCATGCCTGTAATCCCAGCACTTTGGGAGGCTGAGGTGGGCGGATCATGAGGTCAGGAGATCGAGACCATCCTGGCTAACATGGTGAAACCCCGTCTCTACTAAAAATACAAAAAAATTAGCCGGGCGTGGTGGTGGGCGCCTGTAGTCCCAGCTGCTCGGGAGGCTGAGGCAGGAGAATGGCGTGAACCCAGGAGGCAGAGCTTGTAGTGAGCCGAGATCCAGCCACTGCACTCCAGTCTGGGCGACAGAGCAAGACTCTGTCTCAAAAAAAAAAAAAAAAAAGAAAACATCGTTCTGCTTCCTTTAGAAAGTTAACAGCACAGGTTGCAGTTCACTCTGTGCTCTGCAGGAACTTACTACTATGTGGCATGGGCTGACTCGTCTCCACCTGAGAACTAGTCCTTCACCCCACTTATGACTTCTTTCTTATCACTCCCAGGTGGTCTTATGGTGCCCTGGACTTTCTCTTACACCTCCATGTCTCTGTGTAAACCAGGCCCTGGGCTTAGAAAACCATCCCCACTTTCTGTACCTGAGAGAATCTCTGCAATCTTTTGTGCTAGACTGTACTTCAGGGAAGTCTTCATCCCCTGCCTACCCCAACCAAGAGTGATGAGATGGCCTTGCTGAAAGCTTTCTCTGGGCTTCCCTCCTCCATTTATCCATGTATCCTATCCATTCATTCATCATCTCCTTTTTTTTTTTTTTTTTTAAGATAAAGTCACCCAGGATGGAATGCAATGATGTGGTCACAGTTCACTGCAACCTCAACTTCCTGGGCTCAAACTATGCTCCCACCTCAGGTTCCTGAGCAGCTGGGACCACAGGTGTGCACCACGGTCAGCTACTTTAATTTTTTTTTTCTTCCAGAAACGGGGTTTCCCTATATTGTCCAAGCTGGTCTTAAACTCCTGGGCTCAAGGGGTCCTCCCGCCTTGGCCTCCTAAAGTACTATGATTACAGGCGTAAGCCACCAAGCCGGGCTGTGTCCCATATTTAAATAAATATAAAAATTAAATTAAATGGTTCAAACAACCTAATTAAATAGTGATTCCTTCTCTTACTGGCTTTTCACAGATTAAGCTACTAAAATGGCTTGAATTGGCCAGGTGCGGTGGCTCATGCCTGTAATCCCAGCACTATGGGAGGCCGAGGTGGGTAGATCACGAGGTCAGGAGTTCAAGACCAGCCTGGCCAAGATGGTGAAACCCTGTCTCTACTAATAATACAAAAAATGGCCAGGCTTGGTGGCAGGAACCTGTAATGCCAGCTATTTGGGAGGCTGAGGCAGAAATTGCTTGAACCCGGAAGGCGGAGGTGGCAGTGAGTCAAGATCGTGCCACTATACTCCAGCCTGAGCAACAGAGCGAGACTCTGTCTCAAAAAAAAAAAAAAAAAAAAAAAAAAGGCTCGAATTTACTTCTGGAATGCCTTGTCTTGCCCACTGATTAATTTTTCTGTTTTAAATTCGATTCCATATGATTTGGAGAATTGTCACTTTGTTTTAAAATTTGGTAGCACGGGTCTGATCCTAATATATATATTTTTTAAGTTGGTATTTTTCTTCACTTGTTTCTACAAAAGGAGAACATGAGAACATTGCTGGTACCGAACAAAGTCTGTGCATGGGCATTTTCCACAAGGAGCATAATCTAGCTCCTCATTTATTTATTCCTTCCTTTATTTCTCTCTTTAAGTCTTTCTAATTTTCTTTGACTCTCTCTTGTCCCAAGCTGAATTACTACCCTCACATTTAATGGATTTTATTGCTATTGTAAAAGGATTTCCATCCATCAAATTGTGGGTGCTCTCTGTTGAAAAGGGGCTTAGTACTCTTCTAGAACAATGATTCCCAAACATCAGAAGCACATGGAGGGTTTGTTGAAACACAGGGTGCCAGGCTCCCCTCTAGAGTTTCTGATTCATCAGATCTGGGGTGGGGCCTGAAGATCTGCATTTCTAACAAGTTATCAGGTGATGTTGCTGCTGGTGCTGGGACCATATACTTCGAGAAACACTTCTGATTCCCACACCTAACTGAAACACCTGGGTAGGGTGGGGCACCCTATGAAATGCTGCTTCTGTGGGTCTGAGGTAGATCTGAAAAATCTATTTTCTCTCTAGTTCATTAAGTTCCCTAGGTGACCATGATGCCAGGTTTGGGAACTGCTCAGGTGCAGGTTCATCTGTGAAGGGCTGACCCTCCTACCTCTCTTCCTTTTATGCAGTTGTCAGCTTATCTTTGCAGCCAGCCGATGCATTTTTCAGCCTAGACCCTATCATTCTGGCTCAATATGCAGATTTGACAGGACTTCCTTCTGTGTCTTCTTCCAAATTGTTGATTAAAATGACGAGACATAAAAATGAAGTTTCACCTCATACCCATTAGGACAACTACTATTTTTTAAAAAACAGAAAATAACAAGTGTTTGAAAGGCTACCAGAGAAACTGGAACCTTTGTACTCTGTTAATGAGTTTGTAACACAGTGCAGCCGTTATGGAAAACAGTAAGCGGTTCCTCACAAAATCAAAAATAGGCACGGTGGCTCATGCCTGTAATCCCAGCACTTTGGGAGGCCAAGGCAGGAGGATTGCTTGAGCCCTGGATTTCAAGACCAGCCTGGGCAACATAGCAAGACCTCATCTCTCCAAAATTATGAAAATTGGCCAGGCATGGTGGCGGATGTCTGAAGTCCCAGCTACAGGATTAGGTGGGAGGATCAACTGAGCCCAGGAGGACAAGGTTGCAGTAAGCCATGCTTGTGCCACTGCACTCCAGCCTGGACAACGGAGGAGGAAATGGAGACTCAGAAGGGGTAAATAATTTGCCCATCGCCATTCAGCCTGGAAGTGGCCCATGCGGGATTCGAGTCTGGGTCTCTCCAGGTACCTAGGTCTGAAGGTAAATCTACTTCCTCACTGTCTTCTCTTAACACTAGACCATCTTCTTCCTGGATCTTCTTACTCAAAACATCATTTTTGAGAATCTTTTTGGGGGAGTTGCTATGACAAGGGGCAGCAGTGATAATGGAAATCTATCATTCTTTCAAAAGCCTCAGACACAAATTCAGGCTTATCTCAAATAACAGAAGTTATAAGGCCTTTTTTTTTTTTTTTTTTTTTTTTTTTAAGACGGAGTCTCGCTCTGTCGCCCAGGCTGGAGTGCAGTGGCTGGATCTCAGCTCACTGCAAGCTCCGCCTCCCGGGTTTACACCATTCTCCTGCCTCAGCCTCCCGAGTAGCTGGGACTACAGGCGCCCGCCACCTCGCCCGGCTAGTTTTTTGTACTTTTTTTAGTAGAGATGGGGTTTCACCGTGTTAGCCAGGATGGCCTCGATCTCCTGACCTCGTGATCCACCCGTCTCGGCCTCCCAAAGTGCTGGGATTACAGGCTTGAGCCACCGCGCCCGGCTGTTATAATGCTTTTAGTAGAAGAATACCAGCAATCTGTATAAGCATAACAGCACTTTCTTTAACTACCAATCAATATCATATGCTTGTAAGAAACGAAAGGACTGGTGTTATCTTCTCCCTTTTACAGATATAGAAACTGAGGCACGGAGTAACTGACATGTTTCAGGTCATTCAGTTAACTTCAGAGCTGGGAAGGGCATTCACTAGTACAAGAACCCAAGACGTTTCTTTTCTTTCTTTTTTTTTTTTTTTTTTTTTTTAGATGGAGTCTCACTGTGTCGCCCAGGCTGGAGTAAAATGGCAGTATCTCAGCTCATTGCAGCCTCTGTCTCCCGGGTTCAAACGATTCTCCCATCTCGGCCTCCCAAATAGCTGGGATTACAGACACCCGCCATCATGCCCGGCTATTTTTGTAGAGACCGGGTTTCACCGTGTTGGTCAGGCTGGTCTTGAACTCCTGACCTCAGGTGATTTGCCCGCCTTGGCCTCTCAAAGTGCTGGGATTACAGGCGTGAGCCACCGCGCCAGGCCAAGACTTTTATTTTCTAATTTACAGTCGAGGAAAGAAGTTTTAATTTTGTTTTGCTTTTTTCCTTGAGGAACTGAATGTTTTCTCTTTTCTGGTTTTAAAGTAAACTAACTTACTGTGTTTCTCTTTTTGCCCTCAAATTTGCTACCTGGTTAGTCCCTGCAGCTCTGTTATTCTTCATAATCGGCATGCCTGCTTTTACCACCTCTGATTTTCTGGTTCTACTGTCTTAGCTTTCATGTCTGTGTTGCCTTTTCTGGAATCTGCTTCAGAAAGGTCTGAAGGGGAAAGTCTCTGAATAAATGAGTGACTGACTCCCACCTATCTAATGACGTGCTTTGTCTCCTGAATTTACAATAATTTACTCGGCATTTTAACATAACATATAGCATTTTGGGGGTACAGAGAAACTCTGAATTCACTCAGTGAGATTACAGGAATCTGAAGGAACATCAAAGTCTGATAAATATCACAGGGGCAGAGGAAGGGGTCTCGCATATTTGATGCTCTACATGCCTTCTCTGGTATAATCCTCACCACAGTTCTCTGAGGCGGGTGTTTACAGATTAGGAAAGTAAGGCTCAGAGAAGGTTACTAACTTGCTCAGGATTACAAAGCAGCCCGAAGTGGAACCAGGAATAGAATGAAGGACAAAGTCCATAGCCAAGGCCTTTTCAGAATAGACCTTGTGGTCTCCAAATCAAAATAACCTGAAAGGTTTCCCAAGTGGTCATAAGATGGCAACTTGTGAGCTACATTTTTTTTTTTTTTTTTTTTTTGAGATAGAGGATCCTACTCTGTTGCCTAGGCTGAATACAATGGTGCTATCACAGGTTACTGCAGCCTTGAACTCCTGGACTCAAATGATTCTCCCACTTCAGCCTCCTGAGTAGCTGGGACTACAAGCACACACCACTACACCTGGCTAATGTTTATATCTTTTGCAGAGACTGGGTCTTGCTATGTTGCTGGTTTCAAACTCCTGGGCTCAAGCAATTCTTCTGCCTCGGCCTCCCAAAGTGCTGGGATTAAGGTGTGAGCCACCTACCCAACCAGATCCACATATTTGATGCATAAAATAAGCTATAGACTCTGCACCTCACTCTCCCCAAAGCTACAACCATATGGGCAGGGGAGATAGTTAACTTCCTTTGTGTGATATTAGCATGATTCTGCCATTAAAAACAAAAACAAAGGTTTCTTCCAGAAATAAAGGCCTCTGGGTGGCTGGATGTGAATGGATTAGGCAGGAGTTAGTTCCCTGTGCCTGCCCCTTTCTCCCAGTCTGCAGGGCCTCCCCGCATGCCATCAAAGTGTTCCTACCTTTCTCGCAGTAGGGCTCCCCATCTTCCATGTGGAAGAGGCTGTTCCCGAAAGGCTTCTTGCAGGCCGCACAGACGAAGCAGGTGGTGTGCCATGTCTGTCTCAAGGCATGCATCACTTCCTGGGGGAAAGAGCCTGAGCTCAGGACAGAAAGCAGAAAGGGAGCGGGCTTGACTACCCCACCAGGCTCCGGCCACTGCCCGAGCATCCTACTGGGGAATAGGGCAGGAGAGCTCAGGATGCAGGCCTTGGTCACTCTGAAGAAAGACCCAGGGGCGGCAGAGAAGGGGTTGTCACTCTCCAGCTGGGTGCCAGGTCTTGTGCATTCTTACATAAACTGTGACGCTTAATCCTCCCATTAAACCTGGGAGGAGGTACTGCTTATTACTGTCATTTACCAAAGAGGCATTGAGGGTCAAGGCCACATTCTGGTGAGTGGTAAAGTCAGGTTATGAAGCAACCACTTGCTTTGCAGAAGTTCCACCACCACTTCAAGCTGTGTGGTACAGGTGCACAATCATCTCTTGCATCAAGTTCATTTATCCCCAAGTTTATTGGTGGCAAACCAATTCCCTTTCGGGATAAAAATGGAGTTGCTTTCTCTCTGTTACCAGCAACTTCTTGGCTTCCTAATGGGACCCCATGATCTTGGGGAAGGGCTGGGGAAGAGACATGGGTCAGAGGAAAGGGAGGCTGTCCACTTACCCCCATAATTTTGGTGTTGCACTTGGCACAGAGTGGGGCAAAGAATTGCTCATAACATCGCTCACAGTAAACGTTGTTCTGCTCTTCCACAAAGCACACATCTGCCAGGGAACTCTTGCAGTAGGCACAGTTGAACTCCTCAGGGTGCCAAGAACGGCCCATGGCTACCAGAAATGGGCCCCTGGGGAAGCAGAGAATGGCACCCAGTAAGGCAGCCCCCAGAACTTGGAACTAGGTATTTCAAGAACCCCAACACTGTTTATACTTTTACCCAATAACTCTGACTTTTGTGACTGTTCTGATGAAGTAATGTGAAATTCAGAGAAAGCTCCATGCAGAAAGGTGATCATTGTTGCATCACTTACAATAAAGAAAACCAGGAAGCAACTCAAACATCTACCAATAGGGGACTGGGTAAACATATCACAGAATCCAGTTGACCACTGATAATGATAGTAAGATATCCAATAATGATGCTGCTGATGGCTAACATTTATTAAATGATTACTGTGTGTCAGGTTCTATTCAAAAAGACTTTTGCATTTATTAACTTGCTTAATTCTCACAACAATCCTACGAAGTAGGTACTATTATAATACCCATTTTTAGATAGGGAAACTGAGGCACACAGAGTTTGAACAACTTGTTTAAGGCCATAGGGCTAGTAAGTGGTAGACCCAGGATACAAACCTGTATTGTCTAGTTCCAGGTTAGCAGTCAGAACAGTGGGACAACAAGGACATTTCTTTATATTCTAATTTTTATTTTTCTGTGTTTTCTAATTCTTCACTAATGAATATGTATTACCTTAGTTTTAAATAAAAGTGTATTTTTCATGCATATAAGCTCACACCACACATGCATACAAACATACTGTATTCAAACAACAGCACCCATGGTCCATGGCTTCTAAGTGTGAAATCACTTGTTTTCATTTTAGTCTGGCAGATGCCCACCAACTCCCTGAGCAGCCCAGGCCTATCTGTGGAAAGACCCAGAAGCAACCCTAAAGGAAAACTGGGTCAAAATCAACACTGTCTTACAACATGCCCCGTAAACCTACTGACAAGTCTGGTGATTCCCAGAACTCAACCTTAGCCCAAGGGGGAGTTCCTGGCACCAGGCACCCTGCTGGAGCTTCACCCACATACCTCATGCCAACCTCCCAGCTCCCTGGGGGAGTGGGTGTCACACAAGTATGGCAGCTAAGGCTCAGAGAGGTCAGACCAGAGGGCAAGCCAGAAGGACCCGAGCCTTTCTCCCTACACCTGCCTCCTACCCCCATCTCTCCCTACCAGGGCTCAGACTGTGGACAAAAACCCCGCACACACGCCCTTCCAGTGCCCCAATGCAGGGGCACAGCTGGACCATACCGGATGACGTTGTTGCAGTGGCCGCAGAGTGGAGTCCGGCTGCTGGCTGGGAAGCGCTCAGCCCTCTGGACGGTCCCCCTGGCAAGTGGTGGCACCTGGGGACCCGCTGGGGTATAGGCTGGGCCCCCCCGGGGCAGAGTCTGCTTGCTGATGGAAGTGGTGCTCTTGCCCGGGGCAAACTTCTGGGAGAAGCTGTCATCTGTCACCCAGGGGGGACGGCTAGCAGGCTCCGCAGGGCCCCCGCTATAGGCCGCCGAAGGTGCGGGGTTATAGTTGGGAGCAGGCGAAGGGGTATAGGCTAGTGCTGGGGATGGAGTGTAGGTGGGGGCAGGCGAGGGGGTATAGGCAGGGGCAGGCGAGGGGGTATAGGCAGGGGCAGGTGAGGGGGTGTAGGCAGGGGTAGGCGAGGGAGTGTAGGGAGTGGGACTGTAATTGGCCCCTGGGGACGGGCTGTAGGTAGATGCAGGCACTGCAAAAGCCAAAAACAAAACAAAACAAAACAAAACAAAAACCCCAAGAAAGGTGTGTCAGGAATTCATTCTTCCCAGTTCCCCTCACTCCCAGCCAGAGAAAAGGAAAAGGCGGCTTTAACATTAGAGCAGTACAATTTCAGTTTTTTCAGGAGACTTGTTCCTGAACTTCTTGATGGCCCAGATTTGAATTCTCAGCAGGGCTTCCAGAGAGCTAGAGAGCAAGCACAGCAGAGCCCTCGACATGGGCTGGAAAAGGGACATGGCTATAAATATCTGCAGCTGTGCAGGGTGGGGCTCCGCCAGGCCTTGACTGCCCAAGGCCTGCAGAAGATGGGGAGTGGGGGTGGGGGTACCTGGGCGGGAAGGGGTGGGAGTGGGTCAGCTCGCCCTTGACTGCACGATGCTTTCAGTTGCACTCTGACCAGTGATTTGACATCTGAAATACCATCCTTAGCATGAGTTTGCTGAACCTGGACCTAGGTCAGCCCTCAGGACAAAGCAGGTGACCTGGGTTTTCAGGTTCACGTTTCAGGTTTAGCTACAATTACTTTCTTGAAAAACAGCTCAGCTTGATTTGTACGGGGGAAATTCCATCTTGGTTTGTGATTAGGGTGGGGGATCTTGAAGGAGGCATTCAGAGGGTGCTGGGCAGAGACTCTAGGGTGACACAGCCCAGAAGTAGCTGCTCACTTGGCCCGTGGCTGCCCTGGGGGACCCCTGTACCTCCACATCGCTTTAGTGGAAGCTGAGAGTGTGTCTGAGTGACTGTCTAAAGATTGTCCAGGCAGTCAGAGCACAGGGAAGAGAATGCACTGCCTCACTTCTACCACACCCTCCTCCAGCTCCCTGAGAGCAGAAAACCGTTTTGGGCTCACAGCACAGAAAAAGCATTGCAACTGCTTACCCACAGCCCTCTTCGGCCTGGGCTCTCAACACCCAGCCAGGGCAGACCCAGCTGTACCCTGCACGCAAGATCCAGCTGGCCTCCTCTTCCAGCAAGTGAGGTTCCAGAAGCCTCACCTCATTTCAGTCTGCTCGTCGGGAAAGAGGCCTCATTCCCCCAACCCTAGGAAGCATGTTGGCACAGCCTCCCTCCTCATTCCTGAGCTCAGCCTGGGCAGGATGGACTGCACTGAGGCAGTCCCCACACCCACACCCTGCCTCTGCCTCCCACCCCACACTCCAGCCTCAACCTGGAGAGGAAGGTTTTTCTTAGGGCCCAAGACCCTGGCCCTACCTCCAGTCTCTCTTTCCCACCTGGTTCCCCTGGGACACCTGGGGCAGCCTGTGGCTCCCACTCTGCACCTTCCACTCCCAGGTGACCCACCCTTCAGAGCTGGATGACCTGGAAATCCCTGTGCTGGGGGTGAGTAGGGACCAGGTAGATAGGATCCATCCATGTTGTTGAAGGAAGAAGAGATAAAACCCTCCACAGCCCTGCCCTGGAGCCATCCTGCCAGTGAGGCCTTCAAAAGATAATACCGGCCGGGCATGGTGGCTCACGCCTGTAATCCCAGCACTTTGGGAGGCTGAGGCGGGCAGATCACAAGGTCAGGAAATCAAGACCATCCAGGCTAACACCATGCAACTCCGTCTCTACTAAAAATACACAAAATTAGCCAGGCATTGTGGCGAACACCTGTAGTCCCAGCTACTCAGGAGGCTGAGGCAGGAGAATGGTGTGAACCCAGGAGGTGGAGCTTGCAGTGAGCCGAGATTGTACCACTGCACTCCAGCCTGGGCGACAGTGCCAGACTCTGTCTCAAAAAAAAAGGATAATACCTTCTCCATAAGGAATCTTCCTCTCCTTTAGGGGTAATGAGGCACATAGCATCTGTCATCTGAATTTGTCTTCACATTATTCCCCCTTTACACTTGAGGTCACTGAGGCTCAGACAGAGCTAGTAAGTGGGAATACATCTCCAAAACCATTCATTATATCATCCCAAGCTGCCTCTGTAAAGATCATGAGTTCAATTTCTAGAAAATCTCGGTGCAACATGTCAGGGAGGAGTCATTTTCAACATGGAGGAGACCCCATGCTGTGGAGTCTTGATAGCATAGCCAAGAGCCCTGGCTGCAGGACCCAGCTCTACTACTTCCTGGTTGTGTGTCCTTGGGCAAGTTCCTTAACCTCTCTGGGCCTCAATTTCTTCATCTAAAACTGGCAATACTAATTCTTACCATCTCACAAGGTTATTATGAGGATTAAGGGAAGGTAAGAAATATAAAGAGCTTAGCCTGGTACCTGGCATAGTATGTCACTAAATGTGAGTAAGGATGGCAAGGATGGGGGCAACATGGGTGTCAGGGGCAGATGTACTGTCAGCCTGTCTCATGGCCTGCTGCTCACCTAGGGAAGCCCAGCCCCGTTAGACTGGTAGGGCCGGGGGTTGTGGGAGAGGAGGGAAGGAAAATGGAACGTCTTGAAGTCAGATAACCCGAGACTGAGGTCTATTCAGTGGTAGTGGAATGCCTGACGCCCTGCCTGCCCCACAGGGCATGCTGGGGACCTGCTGGAGTGACATAGTACATGGATTTTATAAATGTGTACAGCCCAAATTTGAGGTATTGTCACCCTCCCTAACAACTTTGCAGAGAACCTCAAAATGCTGGGGGAAGAAGTGATTCCAGGAACACCACCAGGAACAGAGAGCAGGGAGAGGTGATGTAGCACAACTTCAGAGCAGCTTCATCCCTCTGTTATACGTAAGGGGGTTCTGTGCAACATTTCCTCTCTTTCTAAAGTGCAATTATCTGCTAAAAAAGATTAAGATTAGCTGGGCACGGTGGCTCACTCCTGTAATCCCAGCACTTTGGAAGGCCGAGGCTGGTGGATCACCTGAGGTTAGGAGTTCGAGACCAGCCTGGCCAACATGGTGAAACCCCCATCTCTACTAAAAATTCAAAAAAATTAGCCGGGCATGGTGGTGAGCGCTTTGTAAATCCAGCTACTCGGGACGCTAAGGCAGGAGAATCTCTTGAACCTGGGAGGCAGAGGTTGCAGTGAGCTGAGGTTGTGCCATTTTACTCCAGCCTGGGCTACAAAAGCGAAACTCCATCTCAAAAAAAAAAAAAAAAAAAAAAAAGGATTAAGACCACAAGCCCTAATCCTGCGCTGTCCAATACATAGTGCTAAATGGCCAATGAGCAGCTGAAACGTGGCTAGTCCGACCGAGAAGTACTGTTAGTGTAACACACACCAGATTTTGAAGACACATTAATAATTATTTTATGTTGATATGTTGAAATTATATATATATGGTTTTTTTTTTTTTTTTTTGAGACGGAGCCTTGCTCTGTCGCCCAAGTTGGAGTGAAGTGGCACAATCTTGGCTTCACAGCCGCCTCTGCCTCCTGGGTTCAAGCGATTCTCCTGCCATTGCCTCCCAAGTAGCTGGGATTACAGTCACCTGCCACCACACTCGGCTAATTTTTTTTTTTTTGAGATGGAGTCTCGCTCTGTCGCCCAGGTGGAGTACAGTGGTGTGATCTCGGCTCACTGCAAGCTCCGCCTCCCGGGTTCACGCCATCCTCCTGCCTCAGCCTCCCGAGTAGCTGGGACTACAGGCGCCCGCCACCATGCCCGGCTAATTTTTTGTATTTTTTTTAGTAGAGACGAGGTTTCTCCGTGTTAGCCAGGATGGTCTCGATCTCCTGACCTTGTGATCCGCCCGCCTCGGCCTCCCAAAGTGCTGGGATTACTGGCGTGAGCCACCGTGTCCGGCCTGATGTTTTAAATATATACAGTCAAAGAAAATATATTAAAATGAATTTCACTTGCTTTCTTTTACTTTTTAAAAATGTGGCTACTAGGAAATTTCTTTCTATTGGGTGGTGCTGTCCTCATCAAAATGACTGTTTCCACGTGCCAGGCCCTTTACGTGCATCATTTCAAGTAATTACTCGCTGCAATTCAAGGAGGCAGATAATATTTGCAAGTCCATTTTACAGATGAGGAAATGAGACTTGGAGGGCTTAAATGGCTGCTTCCAAGTCATCCAGCTGGTGAACTACTTAGCTGAAACAAGCTCAGGCTGCCAGACTCAACAGCAGATGCCCGTTTAGAAACTCCCCAGGCAGCAAAACAGGCTTTAGTACGCCCCCTTTCAAGTAAATCGGGCCCTGGCCCACATTTCCTGCCTCCCTCCAGCAATACTAACCCTATTCCCCCTGCCTGGCAGTCGCTTCCCTCTATTGGAAGGCCTTCCAGACTCCCGGATCCACCTCCTTTTCTAAGCCCCCACAACACGGAGGTAACACAGAGGTCTCACAGAGGCAGGCTAGAATCTGGACGCCGATTTGACGGCTTCCTTACCGGGGGCTACACCCACCCAGAGAAGGAACCTCCCCGGCCTGGGTGGCCCAGCCCGGCAGCTCCGTTCCCCCGTCGCAACCCCCACTCCCGGCCGGTGGCGAGCAGGCAGCGGCGCTTCGCCGCCCTCTGCTTCTGCACCCTTCAGCCTGGCTCGCCGTCATGCCAGGAAAGACCTGATATCCCATCTCGCAGCCCCGGGGGCTGTTGCTATTTCTGCGTGACGGAATTAAGCCAGTCTAAATTAGAAGGTGATATTTCATCTCTAATTGGCAAGTTCAAAAGGCCCCTATCGCACTCGGCGGGCTCGGGGATGTGTAATTAAACAAGGTGATTTCTGACTCACTCCGGGCCGGGCCTGGCTCTCCGCGAGCGCCTGGCCGCCGCCCGGCCCGCGGGCCAACGTGGCCGTCCCCGGCCCGCGCGCAGGGTCCCCGTGACGCCGCCGCCCGCCCCCTCCCGGGCCCCAGGTGTTCTGGGGAGCGGCCGCCCACCTCGGGCGCCAGCGATAAGATCCGGCCTGCGAACACCGCCCTCGGCCCGGAGGAGGCCCCGGGGGGAGCTGCGCCGGCGGTCCGGGGCGCTCCGGGTCCCGCGCGGGCTCCCCGCCCTCTCCGACGCCCGGGTCCGAAGAGCCTGGAGGGCAGTGGAGCGGAGAGGGGCTTGGGCCCACAGGCCCCACTTCGTCCGGGGCGCCTGCCAGCCGCCCCCGGACTCCACTTGGCAGCGGGGCCTCCCGGAGAGGGAGGTGGAGGCAGGCCGGCTCCAGCGCGCGCCCGCCCGGCCGCCTCCTTCCCCCCGCAGGCAGGAATGAGTTAATGTCTGCGCGGCCTGGGAACCGCGCGGGGGCCCGCGGCTCCGGCTCGTCTCGCTCTCCTGGGCCCCAGCCCAGGGAGGAGGAGGAAGGAGACGCAGGGCGGGCCGGCCGCGCGCCCCCGGAGCCCTGACGCCGCCTGGCGGGCTGGGCGAAGACAGCCGGCGGCCGCCCCGGAAGGTGCCAGAAGCGCCTCCCCGGGAAGAGACGGAAATGTCCTCCTTGCGCCCCGGCAAGGCCTCGCCTCCAGCCGCCGCTTCTCCTCCAAACTCCTCTCCAGCCTCCCCTCCCTGTGTTCTCAGTCTCCGCAGGGGCAGCCGCTTCCCACCGCTCCATCTAAGGCTTTTCACTACTGCAAAATGCCACCTCGCCCTGCGGAGTTTTCACCTCAGAACCGTCTGTCCTTGCTCCTTCTCTAGGGACAGAGAAGGGCACCTCCTGTGTGACAGACGCTGTGCTGGGTGCTTCATTCCATTTCCAGAACACGAGGTGTCCATGAACATCACAGCCTGGAGGGATGAGGCGCTTTGCCTTCGACAGCAGAGCAGGCCCTGGCACCGGCCTCTGTCTGGGGCAAAAGCTGCTTCGACCACCCACACTCAACCCTGCTGTCAGCGAGCTTCATGAACCAAACCCCCGGAGCGAGGCCCGCCCTGACTTGGTGCCTGTCACATTTCCCCGGGCTCCAGCAGCAGAGAAAACTTCCCTGGGGTCTCTCCCTGTGCCTGGATAGGACCTGCTCCCGAGTCCAGGCTCCACCTGTGCTGTTCTGTATCCCCATGGCTTCGGCCAACTCTAGCACACTGGCATGAAACGGAGAAGAGGGAGTCTCATTCTGTCGCCCAGGCTGGAGTACAATGGTGCGGTCTGGGCTCACTGCAACCTCGGCCTCCCGTGTAGCTGGGATTACAGGTGTGTGCCACCATGCCCGGCTAATTTTTGTATCTTTCGTAGAGTTGGAGTTTTGCCATGTTGGCCAGACTGGTCTTGAACTCCCGACCTCAGGTGATCCGTCTGCCCTGACCTCCCAAAGTGCTGGGATTCCAAGTGTAAGCCACCACGCCTGGTCCAGAGAAGACTTCTCTGTTCTCCTTTGCTCTCCCTTAGAATCATCCACTACTTTCTTGCTCACCTGTCTCCCCCAGGCCAGATGCAGGCTCCATAGGATTCTGACCCACAACTGAAGGATGGAGGGTGGAGCCTCAATAGCAAGACCTTGCTTCCCATTCTTCTGGGGATGTGACCCCAGAGCCATCTCTTGACTCTTGCAACTCCTGGAACCCACCCATGGCTTTAGACAGCCTCCCCTCCTGCTTTGCCTCTTACCTGGCTGGTAGACAGAAGGCCGGATGCTGGCAGTGGTGACAACCCGGGGCTTGGGTGCAGGGGCGGCGGGGCCCTCACTGTAGCTGGTGTGAGTGGCAGGTACTGAAGAGGCGGCCATTGCTGGGCTGTAGGAAGAGGCCTGGGGCCTGGAACCAAGGGGGGAAGGGTTACACCCAGAAGGACACCCCCACTGGGGCCTGCAGCCAAAGCAGGCTGACTCCCAGGTCTTCAGAAGCCTCTGTGAGGACACCTGACAGAGGCATTTCTTGGGAGCTGCCAGAAACTGTAAACGAAGGACCATAAGGGTCTCAGAGGGGAGGAGGGTGTTCCTTGGGTGGCTAGTGCCACTGCCTTTGGAGAGAGGGAGAAAAGCCACCAGCCAGACAGGAGGACACCGGGAAGACCCTTCACTGTCATGGGGAGAGACTGCCCAGGTGGGACTGTGGAAGAGCGCAGAGGTAGGGGAGAGGAGAGAGATGGCGCTGGTCAGAACTACCTACCCCCATGACCTCGTGAGGTACCTCAGCCCCTGACCACCTGGCCTCTTCTGCCTACTCTTTTCTATTGTTGCTGGAAGGAGCAGCAAAGTCTCAGGTTTCTGGGCACAGATACTCCAGGGAGAGTGCAGGGGAAGTCAGGAGACACCCGCGCCGCTCCCCCAACCCCGTCTCTGCCACTCAAGGCCTCCCCCCCGCAGTAACACACACCTTTTCTGCATAGAGTTCCTGTTGTCCTCCTCTAACTGGGTTAGTTGTCAAGGGGCCTAGAATCACCTTTCCCCATGTGTGGCCCTGGGACAATGGGGTCAAAGAAATTTTTTTAAAAAGTGTCCTAGTTCATTACCCTCAGCAGAGTATGTGCTTGGCCTCTCCTCCCAGAGAGTTGAAGGCTCCGAGAACTCCTGGAATCCAGCTGCCTGTTGAGCCTTCTCTGATCAGCGTTCCCCAGTTGTATTTGTTTATAAAACGCTTTTCTTCATTTAAAACTAATGAACACCTTGCAAAACACATCCCTGGTCTTTCAGATCTCAAAGGGGACCACATGCCCACACCCAGGGCAAATGGGTTATTGCTGGAGGTGCTGGAGAAGTGAGTCCTGCCTGCCACCCCCACCCACCGCCCCATGGCTTCCTGCCTTCTTTCTGTCTGTTCCTCAAGGGCCCGGGCCCTGCTGGGCAGAGCTGTAGGATGAGGAGTGCCTTCCTCTCTGGGGCTCTGAGAAGGGGGTGGCCCTGGGATGAGAACCCACCACCAAGCTTCTGAGTGGATCCAGAGAGGTCTGAAGGGCTGTCCCAGACAAGGTGGAGATAAAATGAGCCTCAGGTAGCCAGCATCCCAGACCTGGAGACTGTGCACACTTGCCCTGTCAAGCTGCCTAGTTTCTGGCTGAGTGAAGCCATTGTCTCCCCTCCCCAGGCCCACCTGCCCTTCTCTGGATAGATTTCTGTGCTGAGATCAGCAGAGTAGGGGTCTCCACGGAAGATGAAGAGACAGTGTCCGAGGGTTGCCGGGCTTCCATAGGGATGGGGGTGGGCCAAGGGGCAGTGGTCTTAGCCGGACTCCATCAGTGGAGGACACTTTGCCCGCAGCCCAGGAGCTACAGGTCCTGAGTCAGGGACTGGCTCTGGGAAAGGGAGCAGAGGCTTATGGCATCCATTGAAAAGTCTGAAGCCATGCTCCCATGAAAGGCTGGGGGGTCCATTTGCCTCCCATGGGCTCCCCCAGCTCCAGCTCCATCCCAGCCCATGTGTGAGGAGGGAAGGTAGATTTGCTCAGAGTACAACCCCGTGACCCCTTCTACTCCAGCCCCACTCCCCGCTGGGCAGCCCTCTGTGCCCCTCTCCAAGCTCCACCCAGGCCCCAGCTCTCCTGGCAAGGCAAAGGGAAGGAAGGGAGGACTCCCCCTGTCGGGGGCATCCCGAGGGCTCCAGGAGCTCAGCCGTCGGCACGCCCAGGACACTGAGACCTGAGCCTGGTGCTGGTGCCTGCCTTTGAACAGGGTTGGGGCCCCAGGGATGAGGCTGGACTGCCTGCAGGGCTCCAGCATCTATAGCCCCTCACCATTCAAACTGGGAGGCTTCTTCCCACTCTACAAGAGACATTTCTTGCCCTCCTCAAAATCTCTTCCTTGTGCAGGTAGCAAGGCCTTTATATGAAGAGATTCTGGTATAAAGAGGGGAAGCAGTGTCCTAAATCCCCCCAGAAAACTGGGATGAAACCATCCCTGGAGGGCCAGCCTCCTCCTTCAGGCTTCAGTTGGGCTGGGGAAAGGCTGGTCTTGGGCACCATGCAGTTAATGTGAAGCCTGGGATGGGGGCAGCACACAGGCCTGCGAGCCAGTTTGCTCATATCAATCCCACCTCAGGCTGCACCATGGACCTACCCATTTTGATCCAAGAGGCATGTCCTCCCCAGCAAACCCTGGGGGCCAGGGTGGGAGGCTGGGACACCTGGGCTCCGACCCCAAACACTAACTGGCCGACTCTTGGAAGCCCAGACAGAGAGCAGGCCCCATCCAGCCTGATGCACCACATGGCCACTGCAGAGTGACCTGTCAGCCTGGCCCCTCTGCCTCCCCTCTTCTCCCCTGGCCTTTGGTCTCTGCCTTGTTGGGTGTCTAGGAAGGCAGATGCAGGAACTCACAATACTTGTGTCCTTAGTATGTATTAGGTGTTTTACAGACATTTTTTCTATCATAATCTTATATAATAGGTGTTTGGTAAACATCTTAACAGACGAGGAAACTGCAGTTCAGAGAGCTTCAGTCAAATTTTCAAGGTTACACACAGTAAACTGTGGAGCAGATATAAATTCCACTATACTGGGTGCCTCTGGCGTTAACATGCTTCTCCAAAGAGAGGGGAGGGGAAGTGGGAAGTTCATGGCTAAACTCTCTCTGACGAAATCTGACCTGCCTTCCCTGCCCAGCTCCAATGCTCCCTCCTCCATGGAGCCTTCTTTGATTTCTCCAGCCCACAGGGACGACTTTCATTCTACCTAATCTGAGTTCCAGGAACAAAGACTTTTCACACAGTCCCCTTTTGTTATCTAACTCTGTGTGTATGAGTGTGTGTATATGTCTGTGAGAGAGACTGTTACCTCTCTCACTGGTATATGTGTTCCTGGGGGGCAGAGTGACAGTCCCTGCCACAGTGGTGCACACCCCTGAAATTCACCTTCAGTTTCCCCTTCACACTCTGCACCAAGCAGCACTGGCCTTGGCTTCCTCCAGGCCCATGGGCCCTAACTACCTTGGACACAGCTGGCCATAGGTGGACCCAGAGTGGGGCGTTTCCTGCCTCCCTTCCCCAGGGTCAGGCCCAGCACCTGTGGGCCAGTTACCTTGGGCTGTCGGCAGGACTTGAAGCAGGGGCTGTGGCGGCGGCAGAGGTGATGGCAGTGTGGGCAGCAGCTGTGGCCAGGGGTGGCGAAGCCGCACTGGGAGAGGCAACAGCAGGCGGCTGGGCAGAAGCGGGCAGCAGCGGGGTGGTGGCCTGGCTGGTGCACACTGGCGCATGCTCAATAGGGGTGCTGATGAGGTGGGACCAAAAAGACAACAGGTCAAGGGAGCCTGGAGACCCCATGAGGCCCCTCTGCATGGGGGCAGGTGGGTGCAACAGAGGCAGGCTGGGCAGAAAGCGCCACCCGCCTTGCAAACAGAGTAGGATCCTCAGAGGGTATGTCTTCCAGCTCAGGGAAGGAGCTCCTCCAGGATCCCAGGAGCAGAGGCTCAGACCACAGAAGGGTCCCAATAACATCAAAAACTTTTTCAATCCTGGAGGCATTTCCCACCCCCACCTCTCAAATTTTTCTGTCCTTCCTAATTTTTCTTTTTCAGCAAAACAGTGTGGTATAAAAGCCGATGGAATTACCCACACATGTTCCTCCCTGATCCTGTTTTCACCCTTCCCCATTCAGTCAAGAGCATGTGCTACCTTGGGAAGGAATGATACAGCAAAAAAAGCAGAGTGAAGATATTTGAGTGTCAAGGGCTTAGGCTCTGGAGTTGTGAGAACCTAGGCTTTGGACTCGGAAGGACTCGGCACCAACAATACAGATGGCTGAAAGCTACCATGGCAGACAGAGCAAGGTTACCTGGACAAAAGTGGGCACTGTGGCAAGGGGATTCAAGAATAGAAGCCCCTGTGCTCCTTTTCAAGGTCAAACCTGGGGAAGTGGCAGGACCCCAGGGTTCCCCAGTCTATGGTGAGGGGCCAGACAGACCTGAAATAGCCCAAAGATTCCCATGCCTCTGTGTGGCCTGGGTGCCATAGAGGATTTGCCATGCACCCAAGAGTGACAAGAACATGGTCCTGAGCACCTGCAGATCTGAAAGACCTTGTAACTGGGAAAGAGAAAGGCGATCACTCTGCCAGTGTGGACCAGATGGGTTGGGGGTGTCTCAGCAGATGCCAGTGCAGGCAGAACCTGACAGAGGACCAGGTATGCCCACACGCCCCCACCCTGAGTGCCTTGGCATTCTGTAAGCACCTCTTCCCTAGAACCACTCTAGAAAGACAAGAGCAGTCAGAGTTGGGTGGCTAACTGTAAAATGGGGTGGGCAGAGAATAAAAATTAAATTATAGGAAAGCAAAGAAATGCACATTCTTTACTCTTTGATTTGTATTTGCAACAACAGCAACTGGATAAATGCAGCTCCCGCGAGTGGGAATGACTCCCCCCATTTTATGCCGTTTGTTTATTGACCTCATGCTATGTGCCAGGCATGATAATGTCTTTCCTTCCTCACAGCAGCCCTCTGATGTGGGTATCATGGACTCTATTTAATAGATGAGGAAATGGTAATAAAGATAATTCAGTTGCTCAGAGTCCTACAACTTATCAGTAAGAATAGCAGGATCTGATTGAGGGATGTTGTGATTTGAATCCTTAACTGGTACCTCGTGGAGGAAGAAATAAACCTCTTGTTGTGTTGTGATCAGCCAAGTAGAATCTTTCCCCAGTAAAAGGCACTATTCTTATTTGAAATAATTAGAATAACAATACTTTCCATTACTAAGTGGTGCCTGTAGTCCCAGCTACTCGGGAGGCTGAGGCAGAGAATGGTGTGAACCTGGGAGGCGGAGCTTGCAGTGAGCTGAAATCACGCCACTGCATCCAGCCTGGGCGACAGAGCGAGACTCCGT